TCGCTGCCACATTTTTGAATATGAAGAAAACGAGGCTTCCTAGAGGACGCCTAGGTTCTAGTCCTGACTCTTAATTGTTTAACAGCCAAGGCTGTTTAAACTTCTGGGCTTTGGTTTCTCCATTTGGAAAATAAGAATAATACACACCTTGCATTCTTTAAAGCATGGTTTTGAGTATAAAATTGTACAACACATGAGAAAGGTTTATAATACTGCAATGTGTTAGGTGGGTGACAGATATCATATGGAAATTTTATTTAAAAGGATCTAGAGTGTTTAAAATTGTTTTCTGTGTGGTCTCTTTCCCTTGTTCCAGGAATGATGCAACCAGAGAGGCGCATTCAGAGTTTTGACTCTAGGTATGGGGATAATAGTTTCACTTACGACGTTAAGCGAGATGTGTACAACGAGGAGACCTTTCACCAGGAGCACAGGAGGAGGGCTGTGTTCTCTCGGAACATGGGCATTGACATCACCACCTTCAGTCACCACGTCCAGTGCCGGTGCGTGCGTGTGCTCACTTACCTGCCGCCAAGCTGGTGGCACCATCACCTGACTTGGCTCCTTTGTACCCGCTCTGTCTTCCTCCTCTGAATTCCTGTCATCGGAACCCTTAGTTGACTGTGTGATTTCTCTTCAACTGTTTTGTGTGCATGAGCATTGTCTTGTAGCACTTCTTGGTTGTAAACTTCCTGAGCATAGAGACCTTAGTTTCCCCCCATTTTTGAGTTAATTTTGCATGGTGTAAAGTAAGGATCCAACTTCATTCTTTTGCATGTGGATATCCCATCTTCCCAGCACCATTTGTTGAAGAGGCTGTTCTTCCCGCATTAAATGGTCTTGACCGGAATATATTTTAATGCATAAAATACATGGGATTATAAAGGAAACCAGTTTTATTCAAATATAATTATCAAAATATGAGAAAAAAACCAAAATTATGTTATGTAATAATGTAGTGATGAATATAAATGGCATGTTAAGCTATCTGCAGCAATTTTAATGTAATATGAAAATATTTGTGATTTCTATTGGTGACAAAGTCAAGTTCTGAGACGTCTCTGGTTTGTTGTCAACATTCATAATTGAAAGACATGCTAAATTTCAGTTAGAAGATTAGTGAACATATAAAGATATAATTTTTCCTTAGTTCACATGCTCCCATGAATTCTATCTACAGACCCCTTGGTGGGGCTGCGGCAGGGGGTGGGGGGGTCCATAGGCTTCAGGTTAAGAATCCTTTGTGACCTACATCATGATATTAACCCTGATTACTCAGTTTGTCCTCACTCACACTCTGGATTTATCACCCACAATCGGCATGTGTTGTGTGATAAATGAGGAAGGCCTCCACACAGCCCTATTGCGGAGCTTCCTCTCTCTGAGGCATTCTCCTTTGTTCATATCCTGCTTTTGTAAGTTGTGGTCTTGAATGTCCCTCTCCAATCTTGCATCACTACTCTCATTTTCTCTGCTCCAGGATGGGTCAGATGTCATATATCAAAGAGGGCATTTGGGGGCCACATTGGTTTGTCTCTATAAAACGATAGTCTTTTCCTGACTTATTCCTCATCATAAGCAGGTACAAATTCCCCTCCCTCTGCCCTACCTAGCCTTAGGCACTTAAATCTGACCTGTTCTGCTCCCATGGGCTTTTTTTTTTTTTTAAGATTTTATTGAGGAATTGGGGAAGGGGAACAGTGTTGGGGAATTGAGGAAGGGGAACAGCCAAGTTGCTGTCCTTCAATCTTAGTTGTGGAGGGCGCAGCTAGCTCAGCTCCAAGCTCACTTGCCATCCAGCTGCCCGTAGGCAGCTCGTGGCTGCTCAGATCAAGGTGCTGTGTTCAATCTTAGTTGCGGGTGAGCATAGCCACCATCCCATGTGAGAGTCGAACCGGAAACCTTGTTGTTAGGAGCACGTGCTCTCACCAGCTGAGCCATCCTGCCACCTGTTGGCAGCTCAGCAGCAGCTCAGCTCGGGTGCAACTCACTGGCCCATGTAGGAATCGAACCAGTGACCCTATTGCTCAGAGCTTGTGCTCTTAACCAACTGAGCCACTCGGTCGGCCCTCCCATAGGCTTTTGTAGCAGTTCTTATTCCCTACTTCTAAAACATACAGTTATAGTCACATCTGAATTTTAACCTGAAAGGCACTGTGGTTAAGAGCAACGCTCAGAAGCAAGATTGCCTGGTTTCGAATCCCAGTTCTGCTGCTTCCCAGCTGTGTGACCTTAAGCTATCCAACCCTACTCTGCCTCCGTTTCCTCACCCGTAAAATGGGGATGGTAATATCACCTACTTCATAAGATGATTGTGATCATTTATTTTTGTATTAAAGTATACGATATTATATTAACTTCAGGTGTACAACATAGTGATTTGACATTCATATATCTTACAATGTGATCACTGCACTAAGTCTAGTAACCATCTGTCACCATGCAAAGTTACCACAGTATTATTGACTAAATTCCCCTTCACTTTTTTCACCCATTCCCCCTCCCTTCTGGCAACTATCAGCTTGTTCTCTGTTTCTGTGGGTCTGTTTTTGTTTTGTTTTGTTTGTTTGTTTTGGGTTTTTTCAGATTCCACATATAAGTGAAATCATGTGGTATTTGCCTTTCTCTGTCTTATTTCATTTAGCATAATGCCATGTTGTCACAAACGGCAGAATTTCTTTCATTTTTATGTCTGAGTAATATTCTATTGTGTATGTATACCACTTCATCTTTATTTATTCATCTATTGATGGACACCTAGGTTGCTTCCATATCTTGGCTATTAAAATACTGCTACAACGAACATAGGGGTGCATATATCTTTTTTTTTTAAAGATTTTATTGGGGAATTGTGGGAAGGAACAGCATTGGGGAATCGGGAAAGGGGAACAGACAAGTTGCTGTCTGTTCTTCAGTCTAGTTGTGGAGGATGTCGCTTCACTGGCCCATGTTGGTATTGTGATCATTGCGCTTTTCCCAGCTAAAGCTGTCAGTCACTGGCCATTGGACAGCCACTCACGGTGGCTCATGGTCGCTCACGGCCACTTATGACAGCCCACTGCCGCTTATGACAGCCCACTGCCGCTTATGGCAGCCCACTGCAGCCTACGCCATTGCCGGTGACTCATGGCAGCCCAGTTCCAGGTTGAGCTGTTGTTCACCATCTTAGGTGTAGAGGGCGCAGCATGTCTGGCCCATGTGGGATCCGAACCAGCGGCCCTGCTGCTCAGAACTTGTGCTCCCAAGCCAGCTCTTAACCAGTGAGCCACTCAGCCGACCCCGGATATATCTTTTTAAATTGGTGTTATTGTTTTCTTCAGATAAACACCCAGAAGTGGAATTGCTGGGTCATATGAGAGTTCTATTTTTAGTTTTCTGAGGACTCTCCATACTGTTTTCCATAGAGGCTGCACCCATTTAATAGTCTCACTAACAGTACACAAGGGTTCCGTTTTCTCTACATTATCGCCAACACTTGTTATTTGTTGATATTTTGATAATAGCCTTACTTCTGACTTGTGTGAGGTGGTATCTCATCGTGGCCTTGATTTGCGTTTCCCTGATGATTAGTGATGTTGAGCATCTTTTCATATGTCTCGTGGCCATCAGTATGTATTCTTTGGAGAAATGCCTCTTCATGTCCTCTGCCCATTTTTTTGATCGGTTTGTTTATTTTTTGTTACTGAGTTGTATGAGTTCCGTGTGTCTTTTGGATGTTAACCTCTTATTGGATATATCACTTGTGAATATCTTCTCCCATTCAATAGGTTGTCTTCATTTTGTTGATGGTTTCCTTCTCTGTGGAGAAGCTTTTTAGTTTGATGAAGTCCCATTTGTTTACTTTGGCTTTTGTTTCCCTTGCTCTAGGGGACATATCCAAAAAAGATATTATGAAGACTGATGTCAAAGAGCTTACTACCTAAGTTTCCTTCTAGGAGTTTTATGGTTTCACATATAATATTTAAATCTTTAATCAATTCTGAGTATCTTTGTATGTGGTGTCAGAGAGTGGTCCAGTTTAATTTTTTTGCATGAACCTGTCTAATTTTCCCAACACTACTTGTTGAAGAGACTGTCATTTCTCCATTGTATATTATTGACTCCTTTGTCATAGATTAATTGACCATATAAGTGAGGATTTATTTCTGGGCCTTCTACTCAGTTCCATTGATCTATGTGTCTGTTTTTGTGCCAATACCATACTGTTTAGATTACTACAGCCTTGTGGTATAGTTTGAAATCAGGGAACAGCATACCACCAACTTTGTTCTTCTTTCTCAAGATTGCTTTGGCTATTCATGGCCTTTTGTGGTTCCATATAAATTTTAGGATTATTTCTTCTAGTTCTGAAAATAATGCCATTGGTATTTTGATAGAAATTGCATTGAATCTGTAAATTGCTTTAGGTAGCATGGACCTTTTGAAGATATCAGTCCTTCCAATCCATGAGCACAGTACATTTATTTTGTATCCTTTTTAGTTTCTTTCTTCAATGTTTTTTAGTTTTTAGAATACAAGTCATCACTTCCTTGGTTAAATTTATTTCTAGGCATTTTACTTTTTTTGATGCAATTGTGAATGGGATTGTTTTCTTAATTTCTCCTTCTGATTGTTTGTTTTTAGTAGATAGAAATATCATGGATTTCTGTATATTAATTTTATATCTTGCTATTCTACTGAGTTCATTTATTAATTTTATTTTTTGGTAGAGTCTTTAGGGTTTTCTATATATAGTATCACATCATCTGCAAATAGTGACAGTTTTACTTCTCCCTTTCCAACTTGGGTGCCTTTTATATCTTTTTATTGTCTGATTGTTGTGGTTAGGACTTCCAATACTGTATTGAATAATAGTGGTGAGTGTGGGCATCCTTGTCTTGTTCCTGATCTTAGAGGAAAGGCCTTCAGCTTTTCACCATTGATATTAGCTGTGGGTTTGTCGTACATAGCCTTTATTACATTGAGGTAAGTTTCCTCTATGCCCACTTTGTTGACAGTTTTTATCATAAATGGATGTTGAATTTTGTTAAATGCTTTTTATACATCTATTGAGATGATCATATGATTTTTATCCTTGCTCTTGTTGATATAATATATCACATTAATTGTTTGCAGATATTGAAATATCCTTGCATCCCTGGGATAAATCCCACTTGATCATGGTGTATAATCTCTTTTAATGTATTGGTAAATTTAGTTTGCTAGCATTTTGTTGAGAATTTTTGCACCTATGTTCATCAGGAATATTGGCCTATAATTTTCTTTTTCCTTTCCTTTTTTTTTTTTAAGTGTCTTTGGTTTTGATGTCAGGTTAATGTTGGCTTTGTAAAATGAATTTGGAAGCATTTCTTCTTCAATTATTTTGGAATGGACTGAGAAGGATAGGTATTAATTATTCTTTAAATGTTTGGTAGAATTCTTCTGTAAAGCTGTCTGGTCCTGGAGTTTTGTTTGTTGGGAGTTTTTTTATTACTGTTTCAATTTTGTTGCTAGTAATCAGTGTGTTCTGATTTTCTGTTTCTTCCTGGTTCAGTCTTAGAAGGTTGTATGTTTCTAGAGATTTATCAATTTTTAGGTTGTCCAGTTTGTTGGCATATAATTGTTCATAGTATTCTTTAATCATCTTTTGTATTTTTATGGCGTTGATTGCAACCTCTCTTCTTTCATTTCTGATTTTATTTATATGAGCTCTCCCTTTCTTGATGAGACTGGCTACAGGTTTATCAATGTGAGGATTTAAAGAGTATTTATAAAGCACCTGGTAAATAGAAAGCACTATGTTAGTGGGTTTTTGAGTTTAAAAAATCTTTTAATTTCATCTCTTCCTTTCTGAAGAAAACCTCATCTTTTGTTTCATTTACTCCCTCTTAGTTAGCAACTGCAAATACAACCTTTCTTGTCAAAATCTCCCATGTGCTATCATACTGACTTACATTCCTCACTTTTAAGGTGACTTAACTAAAATCCAGATTCATGTTAAATGCTTATACTGTTCCCCACCAGCTTCAATTTCTGTTCCTCTAACACCCTCCTTGATTCCTTTTAGTCTTAGATCCTCATTATTCCATGTCCATTTTATTTTTCACTGTGCTAAAGAGGTTTGATTACCTTGCCTAGGGTGACTGGTCTTTTGCCAAGTGACACGTGGAAAGGAGAGGTGACTGGACCAAGTGAAGGAATAAATTGTCCCAATGCCATGCTCTACTCACCTCCATAGAAGATCATAATTGGAGAAAGTACACTCTGTACACCTGCCTAACACCCCGAGACTCTCATAAAAATAGCAATATGATGTTCCTTTCAAGCCAATGGTCTTGCTCCTGGTTAACATTTGTCAATAGGAACTGTGGCAGTAATAGAAGGGATAGAACACTAAACTAGAAATCAGAAGACCTGGTTTCTAGCTTCAGCTCTGCCACACTTACTACTGTGATCTTGGCAATGTCACTTACACTTATTTGGCCCTAATTACCTTAGGGATAGTTATGCTCATAGTTGTGAGAGTCAAACATATGTGACATTATTTCTCTTCTGAGCACACATTTTAGCCTTGCATACACTATAGTTATATTTGTTGCTATAGTCAAATCCCAACTATCCAGCTACAACTCACACATGAAGAATCTTCATACTCTTTGCTTTCAGCCCATACTAAAATGTAAATAGAAAAAAGCAGTTTAAAACCAAACTAGTTTTACTGATTGATTAACTGATCTATGGATTGATTTATGTTCATTCTTCTGTTTTAGACATTCTAAAGGTTCAAGTAGATTTTCTCAATCTCAACATCATTGATATTTTGGACCAGAAAATTTTTTCTTATGGAGAGCTGTCCTGTTCATTTTAGGAGGTTTAGCAGCATCCCTGGTCTCTACTCACTAGATGACAGTCATGATAATAAAAAATATCTCCAGATTTTGCAAAATGTCCCTTGAGGAACTAAATTGCTTCTGGTTGATATCCACTGAGTTAAAGGATAATAGTCTTATTTTACTGCTTTTTCTTTACATGGCTAACTCCTTAAGCATGGTAAGTCCATAATCTATATTTTCTATAAATTCCTACATACATATTACAGATCCATAGAGTGAATGTTAAGTAAAAATTTTAGTATTTGGTAATACTGTGAATGTGTTAATTGCCCCTGCCACCCACTAATATCACACCTCAAAAACCTGTTCTTATCAAGAGAAAGCAGTAACAGTCCATTTTGCTACTGGAAAGTTGGTAGGTTTTCATATTTTCAAACATCCTGTGAAAACACAGACTTGATTTGTATGCTGACTTATAAGGCTTAGTTCTTGTTATATATGTGAAACTGGCTCTCAACTAGAGGCAATTTTTGTCTCCCATGGAACATTTGGTAATGTCTGGAGCCATTTTGGGGTGTCACATCTGGGGGAGGGAGTGCTACTGGCATCTAGTAGGTAGAGACCAGTGATGCTGCTAAACTTCCTACAATGCACAGGACAGCCCCACAACAAAAAACTATCCAGTCCAGTTTATCATAATGTCGATAGTGCTGACAAGGAATTCTGCTGTATGGGAAGAATTATGCACTGTGCCTTATCTTGGCTATGTGGGCTTTTTCTCTGGATAACCTAATCAAGTCTCTTTTCTTCTTTCTCACAGCTGCTCATGGCACAGGTTCCTAAGATGCATGCTTACAATCTTTCCCTTCCTAGAGTGGATGTGTTTATATCGATTCAAGGATTGGCTTCTTGGAGACTTACTTGCTGGTATAAATGTTGGCCTTGTGCAGGTTCCCCAAGGTAAGGAAGATACGAAGCCTTTTCACCCACCAACCAGTCCACTTGCCCAGAGTAAACAATTACTTGTACTAGATGAATAGAAAAAATGTGAATTCCATTTTTTATCATTACCATTTTGTCTCCTTGCCTGCCATATTTTCAACTCCAGATGGTCCTAAAAGACTCAGTTTAGTTTAGACCTCCGCATACTTCCAAGAGTATCTGCAATGCCCATTCATGGTCATTTTTTGTTTAACTCATCATTTCATACTCACATGACTACAATAGCCCTTATTTAGCATTGGTTTCACTTAGGAAGGTGAAGAATAGGAAACATAGCATGCTAACATCTCTTCAGCAAGTCACACACATAGCAGTCCAAGGACTACTCTTTGGTCTTCCAAGCGGCAGTTCAGGTTTAAGACAACAAGGTCACACAAATAGGTAGACAGCTATCTGGGCTTTAGAAGCCTCATTTCCCAAGTAGGAACCAACACCTCTTATAATTTCCATAACTCTCGCTTCCAGGGTCCCACAAGCAACACGCCCAGTTATAAGGTCATTGTGTCCAGAGAAGCCAAAGCTAAGGCTTCACACTGGATATTTATTTTTCATTCTCAGTCCTCTTGGTCCAGGTAGAGCGTACTAATCAAGCTCACTTTTACCATAACAGTTTTGGCTGGTAACACAGCTGACATTCTACTGAAAAAACATCTAGAAAGTTAACCCCAGATCAAATTTATCCACAGAGAAAAAGAAAGGATTTTGTTAATCCTTTACTCATAGTAGTTCACAATTCCCTGCATAGTCTTTAAACACCTCTAGTTCTCTATTCTTGTGGGGCCAACCAGAAAGGATTGAAACTTGTGATTACACAGATTGTGGGTAGCACAAAAGAGGCCAACCAAAGGGGCAAGTGGCAGCTTTCTGACACAGGGCTGTTAGTTGGAGAAAATGGATTTAAAATAATAATAATAATAATTATCATCCAGTAAAATTAACTTTATTTTCCTTTTGGTGTACAGTTCTATGAATTTAAACACATATATAGATTCCTGTAGCCACCACCACAATCAAGATACACAACAGTTCTATGAACCCCAAAACTGTCTTGTGCCATCTCCTTTTACTCACATCCTCCCCTAACCTCTAACCCCTGGCAACCACTGATCTTTTCTCTATCACCATAGTTCTGTCTTTTTGAGAATCCCCCTTCTGAGAATCTCATACACATGGACTCAAACAGTATGTAACTTTTGAGGGCTGGCTTCTTTAATTCAGCATTAGGTCTTTGAATGAATGCAAATGGTTATATGCATCAGTAGTTTGTTCCTTTTTATCCCTGAGTGATATTCCATTGTACAGCTGTGCCACAGTTTGTTTATCCATTCACTTGTTGATGGACCTTTTGTTTCCCGTTTTTTACTGTCACAAATAAAATTGCTATCAACATTCATGTACAGGTTTTTGTGTGAGCATAGTTTTCATTTCTCTAAGGTAAATGCCCAGGGGTGGCATTGTTGGTAAAGTATACTTTTAACTGTCAAACTGTTTTTCAAAGTGGCTGTACCTACCATTTTACATTTCCACCAGCCATGTGTGAGGATTCTGGTTTCTTCACACCCTTGTCAGCACTCGAGATTGTCAGTATTTTTTAATTACACTTTCTACTTTAAGATAATTACAGATTCACGTGCATTTGTAAAAAACTACAGAGAAATTCCCTTGTATCCTTCCCCTACATTCCCCAATGGCAATGTTGTGCAAAACTATAGTTTAGTCTCGTAACCAGGTTATTGGTATTGATACAGTAAAGCTGCAGAGCATTTCCACCGCCAAAAGGATACCTCTTGTTGTCCTTTTACAGTCATCTTCCTCCTGCCACCATTCCCTCTCTAACCCCTGGCAATCACTAATCTGTTCTTTATTTCTATAATACTGTCATTTCAATAAAGTTATTTAAATGGAGTTATACACACATACACTTTTGGGATTGGCTTTTTCCAACATCTTAATTCTCTGGACATTCATGTAGGCTGTTGTGTATGTCCACAGTTTATTCCTTTTCATTGCCAAGTAGTACTCCATGGTATGGATGTACCACAGTTTGTTTAAACATTTAGGCTCAGAGGATATCTGCATTCTTTGCAGCTTTTGGCTATTATAAAAGCAGCTGCTATGAACATTTGCGTGTAGGTCAATGAACATAGTCTTGATTTCTCTGGGATAAATATCCAGGAATGCAGTTGTTGGGTTGTATAGTAGTGGCATGTTTAGTTTTTTTTTTTTTTT